AGAGAGCCTGGGTTCAATTCCTGGCTCGCCTTACATAAAAGCCAGGTGTGATAGCATGTGCTACTTAGGAGCTGTGGTGGAAGGATCTGACACGGCTCCATGCACACATCTGCACACACACACTGAGCAGGAGTGATTGCTGGGTCCTGTGATAGGGTAGCCTTTATTTGCTGATGCCCTGAACCAGGAAGCGTCCAGAACACGCTTCTCCACGTGGTCACAGTAAACTGGGGCATGTACGAGCAACCACAGGTTCTGTGGACTGTGCTACATTTCCACCGTCTGTGTGACCACAGCAGCAGGGTGTTCTGTTTCAGACACATCGTAGCAGGCCAGCCCCGTCCCTTCCTCTTCTCAGTTCTTAGGCTACCCCACTAGCTGTTCCAGTTGCCTGCAGGGCCATGCCTGCGGGGTGAGCTGGCCGTATACAAAGACTTACTGTGCTTCACTTGGAAGAATCAACATGCAAGCAGACCAGCAGATGGTGTAATGGTTAAGTTGCGGGACTCCCATGTAGTCAATCACAGTTCAAATCCTGGACCCGGTGACTTAAAACTCACACTGGACGTGTGTGTGTGTGTGCCCAAAATCCCAAGGAGAATGGAGGAGAAGGGATTGCAGTGTGGCCATCCCTCTGGGAGGTGATTTCTCACCTTCCGTCTCTCTGGAGAGCACACGCACCCTATAGCAAAAAATCTCTCTTTAAAAAAGAAAGAAAAAATCAGCATGTGGACCAGTTTGCGTTCCGGTCAGCTACCGGAGCATTTCCAGTGCTTGGCAGGGCTGTCACCAGTCACACTGGTACCCCGGTGCTCGATCCACAGAAAATCAGACCTGTGCCGGTCCAGGATGCCTGTAAGTTCACTATACATAGTTTGGAAAGTAAATATAACTACTTTTTTTTTTTGGAGAGGTTTTTTTTGTTTGTTTTGTTTTGTTTTGTTTTTTTGCTATAGGGCACGCGCGCTCGCCAGACAGACAGAGAGCGACAGAAAGTGAGAAATCATTCCCCAGGGGGGATGGTCACGCCGCAATCCCTTCTCCTCCGTTCTCTCGGGATCTTGGGCACGCACGCACACGCGCCCAGTGTGAGTTTTACGCCACCGGGTCCGGGACGTGAACCGCGGTTGACTACGTGGGAGTCTAGCAACATAGCCATTACGCTAACTGCTGGTCCCAAAAGGAACTACTTTTGAAAATCAAGTCTAGAATTTTTTATTTTTTAAGTTTTTTTTGCCATAGGGCACATGTGCTCACCAGAGAAAGACACACACACAATGAAAAGGAAAGTGAGAAGTCACGGGGGGGGGGGGACACGCCACAATCCCTTAATTCTCCTCCTGGAATTTTGGGTATCACACACTTGCCAGGTGTGGCTTTCTTTCTTTCTTTCTTTCTTTCTTTCTTTCTTTCTTTCTTTCTTTCTTAATTAAAGAATTATTTTATTTAACTTTATTTATTTATTTTTACATTTTTGAGCAGAGAGGGACAGAGCGAGAGAGGGAGAAAGTGAGAAAGCAAGCTGCCAGGTCTGGGGCTCAAACCGCAGCCAGCCATGTGGGAGTCCAGCACCCTTAACCACCACATCCACTGCTAGTCCCGCCAGGCGTGATTTTCAAGCCACCAGGTCCAGGACTCAAACAGCAATTAGCCATGTTGCACCTTTACCACGACACCACCTGCTGGCCCTCCTCATCCTCCCCAGTCCTCACCTTCATCCCTGTAAGAAGTGACACATGGAAGTCTGGCGACACCAGGCAACAAGCACAATGCAGGCAGGTCACACAGCCGGCCCAGGGTCTCCACTAGCCAGGGCCACGTGGCGCAGGGGCTTGGTCTACCTGTTGCCTCCCTGGGTTCTGGGATGGCTCTGTATCTGGCCGTCGCTGTCCAGAGCTGATGGGTGTGTCCCAGCTCACTGCAGGTGTAGCTCGATCTGCCAGGGACGAGTCTTCGTGGCTCTGTTCCGGACACCCAGCCAAGTGGCGCAGGACAGCTTCCACCCCTAACACCATCGTCACCAGTCTGCGACCCTGCGCAGATGGCCCTGAGGCCCACCACGGAAGGAGGCGGGAATCTGGCTGGCTTACCTGGCAAGTGCGCCTCCGTCTCACTTCCTGCCCGGAGTGCTCATGCATGCTTGGAGCTGGTGAGTGAAGTGGGTTCCACACGTGGGGTGTGGGTCCAGGGCAGCCAGGAGGCAGGGCTGTAGCTACGGTGTGTGGCTGCACACCGGTGTAGCCAGGCAAGAGTATACCTAGGTGCGCCATCAACGCCAGGGCTGCCAAGCAGGAAATGGGGAGGTCGCCGTCGCACTGCTCCTGCGTCGCTGGCTCCATGGGTAGGTTTGTGACGTTAAGACGCCATCAGTGAGCAGTTCCTTGGGCTGGGATGTCTGCTCACGGCCCTGCTCCAGACTGTCACCAGAAGGCC